CCCCTACCATTCTGTGATTCTGTGATTTAAAGCACATCACATGCTTGATGCATGTCAGTAGACTATGTGTACTGATGGTGTACCTGCTTTGCAGATTATATAAAGATACTAGCTAGTTTTGAACAACTCAAATTGCTTATTGATAGCCATCTGGCTATAATAGGTTAAATTAACTCATGCAGAGCAAGACTGTTGCTCGTAATTTTGACACTGTGTATCTGTATGTGGGGCATGTGCTGCATACATAGATTTTAAAGTGGATATTCAAGGAACCTTATGCAGGGTACCTGAGGAGGCAACTCAGGAGGACCGAGTGGGTTTCCACAAGAGCGTATGAGCTGACACAGTTGTGTGCTACCATCAAGTTGGAAAGTTTCATCTCTTCTCTCTCTTTCCTGGCTGGCTGCTCCTGTTGCTTAGCTTGTGTGGGCACTGGTGGTCCTCAGGCCCAGCTATGGAGAGTTTTCTTCCAGTGGTGTAAGTTATCTCAGCAGAGGATCCGGCAAGCACTAGAACTGGCACAGGGAGGGGACAGTTTTGTGTGGCTGGTAGTTGGTGGGGAGAGGAGCAGACAGGGAGACCTTGCTTGTTTTTATAATGGTAAGCTATTCACGTTGGAGCAGTTGCCCACAGAGCAAGGTCAGTGCAAGACGATCTGCCTTTTTCTGCACTTTTCCTGCACGCTGTTCATATTTGTCGTACATCTTTCCTTCTTTCTCAATTTCTAGCTATTCTTTTGCTGTACTCTTGAGATTATCTGGCAGGGTTCCTCACTGGTAACATTTTTCCCTCAAAGTCACCTCATCTACTTTGCTTCCCTTTTTCATACACTTAACCTGTATTTGTAATTTTTGTAATTTTTACACTGGTATGGAATCAATAAGAGTAATGTGTAGCATAACATGTAACTGTCTGTATTAACTTACTGTTACATAAAAATGAGATTTTTCTTTTTATTATTCCTTATAGGTTGCCTGTGGCTATGCACATACATTAGTGCTAACAGATGAAGGTCACATTTATGCCTGGGGAGCCAATTCATATGGCCAGTTAGGTACTGGGAATAAAAGTAACCAGTCTTACCCTACAACAGTTATTGTGGATAAGGACAGGTAATACTTATAGTTTAGCAGTCAGATATTAGTTGGCATACTCTCTGAAGAGATACAGAAAAATATGGCATTTTTAATCTATTTTTTGGGAAGAAATAGCCTATAATTTTTTGCAGTGGTTCTTCTCCTAAATGTGAACAGAATTTTCACTGAAAGTGCTTGAATCTGCCCCATAACCATCCTTGTGAAAGACAAACTGAATGTTCTGAGTAGCCTGAATGTGCTATTTTCTGCTTTGGCTCACACTGTACTTTATAGTGTTTCTTAATTGCAGTTTCTCTTCAGTGGTGTAGTTTCATTGTTTGAAGTCAATGATAAAAGCTTTATTGTCTCTGAATATAAATTGTATTTTAATGTGCTGCATTTGACAAGCAGTACACACAGAAAATGTGAAGGGTGGACATCTGCAATTTGTGTTATTTCTGCTATTAAATCCGGCTTATAACCCAGGAGAGAGAGAAAGGGGGGAGTTCTTGGTATTGTTGCCTGAAAATTAAACTTAGATTTTTACAAGTTAGATATTTTCCTATCAGGCCTTGATGGGTAGTGGGGCACTTATTTCTATTGCTAATGTAAAGCCATGTATATATATGGCCAGAAATTTGAATCTATTCCTTATTACTGAGGTCTTGATTTTGGCTTCCTATTGTGAAAAATAAGAGAAGTGAGATGTCCCTCTTAAACTTGTGTCTGTGTGCATTATTGTAAGGAGCTCCTCTCTGGTGATGAGGCATGGCCTGTTTTTGAACGTTGCTATTTCTTTACATGTCTTTGTGCTTTTGCTTAAAATGTAACTGAAGTTTTCCAGACACTTTGGCTGCAGTTAAAATGTTACTACATTTTTAATACAAATTTTAATGTTGTATGCTGCCTTTCCCTTTTGTTGGCCAAAATGTGCGTTTCTGGTGTCAGTGGGAATATTACTGTGTTAAATCCTGCAAGATTTGTACATATAGCTTTAAACAAGTTGTTTCCCAACCATTTTCCCCAGGCAGCTGGGCAAACAAGTAAACAAGCAGTAGTTCAGGCTGCAAAACAGTGGATTGTGTAATGTTGTATTAAAGTGGGAGTTTTGAAATCCTAAATCAACTTTAGGATTAGTGAGATAGCTAAAGTACACTTAGAAACAGCTTTTAGTGCTGTTTGGTTCTAATTTTTAATTTTCAAAACGGAAGTCCATTAAACATAAGGGATAATAATTGTATGAGTAATGACACTTCAGTATTTTAATTAAAAGGAGTATGTTTAAATTGTTGGTTTATAACTGTTACCAATAAGCAAGCAGGAAAAAGGTTTTTGTTTTAATTTTTACTAAAAAGCTTCCTCATTTCTTTCTTCATCTTCTCCAAGTACCCCTTCTCTACAGCTTAATGCAGCCACTCACCCCACTGCCCAGCACCACCGAGGACATTCAGAGACTTGAAACTCATCATAGCTGTGTTTGAGGGAGCCGAGGGGGCCAGTAGAGCACGTGCTGCTGCAGATATACTGCTGCAACAGTGTCTCCTCACTCCCAAGATGCTTTTTCACTGAGAAATTTTCTGAGTGCACGCTATTTTAAGAAACTTTGATAGTCCTTTTAATTTTGCTACATATGATAGGAAAACATTCTCGCAACTGGAAGTGCATGCATGCTTATACATATGTTTTGCACCAGAGAAAGACAGGAGGTAGTGAGCTTCTTCACTGCATTTTGTTCTCAGAGAGTGACTTGCTTTTTTTCCTTTGTTTGCTTGTAAATTCAGAGTTATAGAAATTGCAGCCTGCCACTCTGCTCACACATCGGCTGCCAAGACCCAGAGCGGCCAAGTGTACATGTGGGGCCAATGCCGCGGGCAGTCAGTGATACTTCCCCACCTCACTCACTTTGCCTGCACCGACGATGTGTTTGCTTGCTTTGCTACCCCAGCTGTTATGTGGCGTCTTCTATCCGTAGGTGAGCTTAAACATTTTTTGTTTTGACATCTTCTAAATAGAATCATTAGTACATAAAACAGTTGCATGCATTTGAAGCCTAAACTTAGTTTCTTGCAAAAATTTATACTGGAAGGCATAATTGTAACCATATATTACATACGTGTAAATAGTAATATGGAATTATAAAAAATTGCTAAGGCCTGATGGCAGTGCTGAATGATTGTCTGTTTTATTGACATTGTTTATTTCTGTGGGGAAATGCCTTGGGTTTGGGGAAGGGAGGTTTTGTGTAACCACTGAATGTTACTGTACAATGGCCATGGATGGAGAAGCTGAGTTTGAATTTGGAGACTTGAGGGAGCCATGCAGAACATTTAGGAACCCTGAAGCTTTCTTTGATGTCCTTAAGTAGACTACTAAGAATGAGGGAGCCAAATTCTCACATACAGAATTGGTCACAAGCAGTTAGTCTCATCACAAGTGATCATGACCTGAGCTTCTGAAGAGACAAGTTGCTGGATCTCAGATAGTTGATTAACATTAAGGCCTGTCTTGATGACTTTGAAGAGAAAGAGTTAAGCATATAGTATTGTTCAACAAAGAGTTTATTCTTCAGCTACAAATTCAATCCCATATTGGTTGCTAATAAAGTTACTGGCTTTGCTGACCTAATCAAAGATGAGATTCTTGGGGTTGTCTGTAGGTGACTTCTGGGAGCTTAACCTAGAAGCTAGAATGCAGCAATTTGTTAATTTGTAATTGGAACCGTATTGAGTCCATCATGCTTCCATTCCACTTCTATATTGCCTTTGTAATTGCTTTTGTGTTGCTATATGCTTTTGTCTGACAATTGTAGAACATTGTTTGATCCCTTGTTGCCTTCTGGATGCCAAGGTAAGGAAATTGTGTTAATAGTACTCATTTCAGCTTTGAGAGACTGGGGGATTAAATGGAGAATCCTGTTCTCAGGAAACTGCTTTGCCAAAATTAATGTTTTAAGGCACAGTCCAAAGACCCCCATTTGCTCTAGGTTGAGGCAGTTGTGCTTTCTAGGATGCCTTGTTTGAAACTGTAAGATATATGCTTAATTACTATGAAAATTCTTAATATTCTTAATATTTGCTACTACTAATTAGATGAAAATTGTGTTACTGCACTAAAATCCCAGGCAATGGGGTGGTTCATTCCATGTAAATATGTCTTTGTCATCTGTAAGTTCTACATAAAAATATCTGTGGTATGTTCAGATTTTTCTTCCATAAGAATTGGTTATTTTATGAAGGAAATGGGACATTGTTAGTATGTGTAGCTTAATCACAAATTCAGTTGTATGTATCTTGTTATGTATATTAGCAGGGTTCTGGGGCTCTTCAGCTTCCATTTCTTCTTGCCCAGTTACAATATTATTTCATGCTATCAGAATGTCTGCTCCACTTTTTCTCTTGCCTTTTCTTCTCAGTTTAGTGCAGAATACTGAGGAATTTTTCAGAGAGTGGAGGAAGGCAAGAAGCAAAAACTGCCTCTTCCCTTATTTTGTTCCTCACGGAGACGACAACTGCTTGAGTGAGACTGAAACTGTTTGTTACATTTTTTCAGTGCTCCTTTCTGCAAATTAATCTTTTCTTACCTTCTTTACAAAGGCTGTTTTAGGTCAGAAATGCTGGTTTAGGTTAGCTAAAAGAGTCCTGGGTGGGATTACATATGATCATTCATGTAATTATCACCTTTATGCTGAAGACTTCCAAGTAACCCGTTTATTACTATGCATATTGCTCATTAATACTTATTAATACTCTTTAACACAGTGTGGTTAAGACTGCGTTCATAACTATTTCCCAACTCATCTTTTATCACCACCTTCATTGTCACCATTGACAATACACCCAGCCTCCTTGCACTGCTTCACACCTTGGGAGTCATTTTTGACTGTAGCAGCTCCTTCTACTTTTATTTTTTGTCCTTGAGTTCTTGGTCCCTTTGGAAATATTGTTGCTACAGTGTTGCAACACTGTACCAAAGCACAAGGTGAAACCTTACAGGAGGAAAAGGTTGTTTTACTTTTAAGCAAAACTGATTTCAGATGCACCTTCAAACTCACATTCTTGTATGTGCCAAGTGGTCTGTCCAGCATCCCGGCACTAAAATGTGTTTTCTGGTGGTCTGAGCAGGGTTCCTTGTGATGATAAGAGGATAAAGGATGCTGGCTGTCAGGCCATCATCATGTTTCCTGGATTCCTTTTCGTTAGGTGACCATGTGCTGGCTTCAGATGTGCCTTTTTGCCCGCTCTGGGAGCTGAGAGTGACTATTCTCGCCACTGTGTCCCACCTTGGCGAGTCACCAGGACTGACTCACTGTTGTTTTTCTCCTGATCTAAGTGTGGCGAGAATCATCAGGCCGCTGCATCCTACGATCTCAACATCTGCTGAACTAGGTGCCACGGACAGCTGCCATGCTTACAACCCTTTTCCATCTGTTGTATTCCGGTGCTTCCACAACAGGCATTCCCCTGCATTCCCCATTCGTGGCAGTTCTAACATTTCTATTCCAATTCTTAGCCCTGACTGCTAAGCAGTTTTCTTGGCTTTGTGCCTTGCCAGCATGAACTGCCTCTTAATTTCCTTCCTCTGGTTTCCCCTTCACTGCTGTAACAAATAAAACCACCTATTTTGCCTCTAAGAATTTCATAACTGAACCCCACTATATTCAGCATACCTCTGCCGGCTATAGAAGTTGTCTGGAGGTGCATATTGATGGACATCTGAATTGACAGCATTAAATTTCTGAGACTGTGTTAATTTTTTTTTTTCTGGCCTTACATAGATGAGTTAGAGGAGTGGAACTTTTTTTTTTTTTTAATAGGGATATTTGTTTGGAGTAGGAAACTAGTAAGGAATGAAAAAAGCTGCCCTTTATATGCTTCTCTGGGAGTTCATACTGAACACATAGTCTGCTGGGTTTTTTTACTAGCCTTAAAGAGTTGTTTTTATTAAGAGTGTTAATTGCTGACAGATACCCAGGATGTTATGGGTTATGAGAGATACTTGTATTACTTACTACTTACTGTTAAATTCCTTTTTTTATTCTAGAGCCTGATGACCATCTAACAGTAGCCCAGTCACTTAAGAAGGAATTTGACAACCCTGAAACTGCAGACCTGAAGTTTCTGGTGGATGGAAAATACATTCATGTTCATAAAGTTCTTCTCAAAATTAGGTGAGGCACAAACTGTAGAGTTTAATATAAACTAAACTGTATAGGGTAGTCCACTGTGCTGAGTGATTTCTGTGCAGAATTCTTGACTTATTCTTGCAAACTACCTTTTGCCTCAGCCATGGGATTCCCCTGATATTCTTCACTGTTGGTCTCTTTTCCTCATTTCCTCGCTGCGTGGAATTATCAAACACGCTGCTTACTACCAGCCTTTTCATCACTTTCCTCCATCTGACTTGTATCCTCCTCTCTGCCACCTAAACGGCCTTGATCCTGATTTCTAATAACCTTTTGCTGCTGAGGAAAAGGCTCTCTTCTTTCTGCTGCCTTCCCAGTACTTTGAATCAGTTTTTCCCCCTTTATAGGCTTGGCTTCCTCCACTGGGATGATTGCAGGGTTTTGTGTTTATTCTTGCCATTCTTTTTTTCCTTACACAGGACCCTTCAGTTGTTTCAGAAACTTCTGTAGATGCTCTTCGGATTATCTTTTTTTTTCCGTTTTTTGTCAGATTTCGTATCCTACTTGTTTTAAACCTTCTTATCAGTGAATTTGAATTTTAAGCTGGCTTCTCTTTTTGTTTTTACAGTTTTTTGCAAGTTAACACCACTTTACAGTGAGATTTGACATACATATGCAGATTTACAGAATAATCACATTGTTATTAACATGCAGAGATTAGTTTGTTATTGCTGACGCAGTTTCTACTAGGATGTTCTAGAGGCACTGGTTTAGATCTCTTCTGTCTTGCTAACTGCTTCTGCTTCATCCTCATTATTACAATAGTTTTTCCTCTTTGATACTTTCGTTCTCAAAAGAAAGAAATGCTTGGCTATCTCATCCTGCTTATCACCACTTTCGTCTTCCTACTTTTGCTCCTGAGTCCCATTAGTGCTTTATTGTATATTACTGCATAAAATTAAAGATCCTTGTTAATTCTTGCCTGCTCTTTTTTTGGTCTTTACTGCCCTCCTCTTACTACTCTAATTACCTGTATTACTATTTTCTTCCCTTTACTGTTTCCATTACTTGCACATTACACTCATGCCACCCCCTTTTTTGGAATGCCATGTGTCCTTCATCAGATACCACTTCAAATCTTGTGTATCCCCAAAATGTTTCTGAGGTTCTTTTTCCTGATAATCAGACTATACGTAGCTTCTCCTTATTTCTTTTTTCTTGCTCTACTTTTCTCAACTTATATGGCATTCTGGGAAGGAAATGTGTCTAATTATAAAAAGGGATTTAAATGTATGGCATTATCAAAATAATATGCAGGAATAATAAAGCATCAGGCACAGTCTGTAGAATTAATATTTTCTTTAAGCCTTATAGTCTCATGATGCAACTGGATCAGAGGATAATGTGTTTAACATGGTATTTTGAAGCATTCAGCCTGTTCCAGAGCATTGTCACGAATGCAGTGCTGGTGAAAGTTCCATTTCATTATCCAGTCATTTCTTTACCACTTACTTATGAAGACCTTTTTCTATCTTGTTCTATGCCTACTGTTGAACTAGATCATATTGGTGGTGCTTATTAGCTTGCGATGGTGGTGAAATGGCAGGGCAATGCCCAGCTCAGTGAGAAGCTGGCCGAGTAATGCACTGCCTGCAGAAACAAATACATATGGGTATTTATGTCTTACACTAGGTATCAGGAAAAATTTGTTTACTGAGAGAGTGGTCAAACACTGGAACAGGCTGCCCAGGGAGGTGGTGGAGTCACCATCACTGGAAGTGTTCAAAAAACTTGTAGACATGGCATTTCGGGACATGGTTTAGTGGGGATGGTGGTGTTGGGTTGATGGTTGGACTTGATGATCTTAAAGGTCTTTTCCAACCTTAATGATTCTGTGATTCTGTGATGTGGGTGGGATTCATCTGCTCTGCATTCAGCCAGCCAAAATCAGATGTCTGGTCTGTCTCTGCTGATAGAGAGAGAGAGAGGGGCACTCCAAAGGATAAGTCACTCCAAGATACTTTGGAGACTGAAGGATGAGTACCAACTGATTTCTATTTATTTACTTATTTATTTTTAAGGGAGCAATGTACACCACCTTCTCTCTGACTTTTATTTTCGTGTGGTGCCACTGGGGCAACAGACCATTCCCAAGGTCTGTTCTACGGCTGGATGGATAGCATGGTCGCCACCACTTAACATGAGGCTCAGGGAGACAAAGCAATGCGGTTTGGCCTGCCTCTTCCAATGCCAGAACATGGTACAAGACGTGTCAGAAGCTAGATGATGACTTTTTAATTCTTTATTAATTTGACTTGATGTTTATTTTACTAAAAATACAAAATACTAAGGAAAAAATTCTTTAAATAACTGGTAAAATCAAATGTGAAAAAGGTAAATTCAGTGATAAAATAAGTAACTATTTTTCATTTGTATCTAAGTTATGCTGTCTTTAGGATGTAGACTTGTTCCAGTCTCATTAAAAGGAAACCAACCTACCTTTTACATAAAAGTTTTAGTAAAATAAAAGCAAATATGTAGTATAAAAGAGTCCAATTAAATTGTGGCTGTTTATAGAAAAAGTTACCTGAGGTGGTGATGTTCATTTCCATCAGCAAAAATTTTGAAAACAATTCATTTTTTAGGCAGCAGTGATTTACAGTGAGTTGTAAGTTACTGTGAACTGTAAGTTGCAGAGTACAGCTATCAAAGGCAGTACTTTTTCCTTTTTTGTATCATGTCCATCACAAAAGTATTCAGACTTAAAAGGAAAAGGTGATGAAAGATCTGGGTGAGAAGAGTCTTCACTTTAAATAATTTAATCCCTCAGTATATGGGGATGATAATGACTAATGACGCTAATGACTAAATCTAATGCTAAATTCTCTATGGCTCTGACACTGGAATAAATGTTATCTAAAATATTTATTAATAATTTCCCTCCTCACTAGATCGTGTTGGAGAAAGCAGGCTGAAAAGTGAGAATTGTCAAACCTAATTGTAAACTTTATCTGTTACAAGCCAGGTAATATAATTAATAGTTAATGTATATCGTGTTTAAGAAAATGACATCAAAAACACATGGACCATTCTTAAAACTATTGTAAGTAGAAATGGAGCCAAATATAAAATATTAGTAACAGAAATAAAGGAAAAGTCTGAATTATATTTTTAAGGCTTAAAAGCCTTATAAGGCGTAAAGAAATTAACATGTTCAAACCAAGAAATCGTGTAGCTAGAGTTTATGGTTTTGTGTTTAGTATGTTATGACTGTTTTATTTTTTTTTACCAATTTCTTGCTGCAGCTCAACTTTCAAGCTTAACTCTTTACAGTATGCAATCTTTGTTCATATTTTGTAGGTGTGAACATTTTCGTTCCATACTGAATAATGATGATGAAATTATAGAAATGAGTGAATTTTCTTATCCTGTTTACCGAGCCTTCCTGGAATACTTGTATACAGACAACATTAGGCTCCCTCCTGAAGATGCAATAGGTATTTGCCATAAATGGAAACAACTCTAGGTTGCTGTTTCTGAAAAATTGGATTTGTGTGTCATAACAGGGTGAGAAAAGCAGGGCTTGTTAATTTTACTTTTATCAGCATTTCAATCTTGAGTTTGGCAGGTGTCGGGAAGAAGGGATGCAGTAGCAGGAAACATGCCCAAGGAGAATGAGTGATGGGGATGCAATAAGATGAAAGATGCAAAATGTTCAAAAAGAACTCATTGTTTCTCATATTAAGAACTGTTTTTTCCTTAAAGAGGCGCTAATGCCATACTAAAACTTTTCTGTTTGAGTAGTTGTGGCAATTTGATCATGCGTGAAAAGGGAGCTGTTCCCCACATGATTGTTATGTCACTAATTGATGCCTTGAATAAGATAGATACGATACAGTGAGCAAGAAGACAGAACACTTGCGTAGTAATAGAAGAGTCCCTTTTTGATATGTCTTTTGAGGACCTTTAAAAAAGCACACACCGTCTAGGGGAAAAAAATAGAACAAGTCTTTCATTAATTCAGCCTAAAACAATAGGGCAATTGTTTAACTTGAAATATATATCTTTTACACCAGGATAGTTAAAGCTGTATGAATTTTCACAGGACTGCTAGATTTGGCAACACTGTATAGAGAAAACAGATTGAAAAAGCTGTGCCAGCAAACCATCAAACAAGGCATTTGTGAAGAGAATGCCATTGCTCTTCTTTCCGCCGCTGTCAAATATGAAGCTCAGGTAAGGAGAACGTCTCTTCAGGCAAACAATCGTCTTCTGAGAAATGAAACTGTTTAATATAAACATAACTGCATTCAACTGATGAGGCATGATTACTGCAATTTCCCTTTCTGGCTTCCCAGAGGTTTGTTTCCCCCTTTTCAAGCTATAAAAAAATGTAGCTACTAGTGTTTTCTTTCTGGCCTTTTGGCTTGCACCTGTGAGTCAGGATTCTTAATCTGCTTCCTGCCTTGCCATCTGGCACGGCATGGCATGCAAATTTCTCACTGCCATTTACTTCTCCACCTTTGGATTTTGCTTTGTTCACTTCCAGACCTCTTCCGCCTGAACGTTTTACCTGCCAGTGTCTCGTACAGTCATTCTGGTACAGGTGGTGGGAGAATTTACCTGTAAAGTCCCTCCCTATTTACACTTGTGCTTATATCAAAATTCCACTTTTGCCATGTTGTTTACAATGAATCGTGCTGACATGCAACAAATTACCTATTGTTATTCCTCTCCCCATATCCTGTCATCTGGTCTGCCCTTGACTCTGGAATGTTTCACTAGCACTCAAGCTGTTATCAGCAGTAACTGCAAGCGCTTTTTTTGTAAACAGACAAATACTTTCAAAGATGTTTTCCTTTTCTCGACTTCTTAGTGCTATGCTGATTGTGGAAATAATGATGTCGTCATTTTTATTATTCAAGAAGTCTGCGTATGTATTTTAAACTTAGTAGCCATTGTTATAACTGAGCATCTTAGTTGAGAAGTCTTCATCTTTTTGTTCAAGATTTCTTCTGCTTTACAAGAATGAAATTAATGTAGCCAAACAGAGAAGATTACCTATTAGAAGAGCCAAAATATGCAGCTGGTAACAATGTTTTTTAAAAATAGTTGGTTTTTGCTTTTCCCTGGCTGTAAAACGTAGGATGATGTTTTAAAGCAGGAGAGGCTAGAAGTGTAATATGATGGATTGATAAACAGTCCCATGTATAAGAAGCAAGTAGAAAGAAAGGACTGAAACAAAAACTGGGTTAAAAAAGTTTCAGCAGCCTGTGCTGTATGGAGGCAGAGCACTATATGAGATGCATTTGTGTAGGAGTTGCAAAGAGGAGGCTGGAGGTCGGTGAGTTTTGTAAAACAAAAAAGGAGATAACATCAGATTAGTAGATAATAAGATTATCAGTTGCCAGTTACAAGGCAGTTGTAACCAAGGTATCAGTAAGGGAAGGCATGAACAGCTTAAGCAAAGAGGAATTGTACTTTAAATGTGTTGTGGCAGAAGCCCAGCATATCAGGGAAGACTGGACAGGAAGGGACGACTAAATGATTTGATTCTCCTAACGGCAGAAATTTTCATTAAAAGTTTTCTCTGGAGTTTCTCCTCTTACAAGCTCTTCAACAGTTTTGAATGTCTCCAAAGCAGAAGTGCCTTTAAGTTGACCTGTGTCAGGTGAAATAGTTAAAGAGTAGTTAAAGATACGTTTAGGTATATTGTGAAGTAGTAAAACTAGCCTGGACAAAGTCCTAGTTTATAATGGCTGAAACACAATAAAAGGGATTGGCTGGGTGACTAAATATATGTTATCCTCCTCTTCCTTTTATGATTCAGTGTTTTATTCTGTATACCTACTATTCTTTCAAAACATGCAATATTTTAACATGACCATCAGATGATGAATTGGTTCACCTGCCCTGGGTGCAGCATGTGCCAAACTCAGGAGTGCATTGTTGCCCTCGTCCCTCCATCTGCAGCTCAGAAAGAGATATAGCAGAACTGCTTCAGAGAATTGCAGCAAAGACTTCGTTATCAAAGACATGGGATAGTCTCTATCTAAGGAATCATGAAGTAAGCCAGGATCTTTTACCATAAAAATTAGGTTAGTAGTAAAATTAGTAGTAAAAATTGGTTTGAGAACCATGTGCAATGTATCAGTGCTTTAATAGAAAACTGTCCAAAGAAGGATTATGAGAGACCTGATGTGCTGGAAGTTTGAAAAGATAGAACTAATTCAACTTTTTGTCATTAAATGCGAACACTGCAAGTGAAAGATTATAGTGCTGTGTCATTGTCATTAACATCTCAAATTAAGTGAAGGTTGACTTGGCTACTGTATGCATTTGTTAGGATTAAAAATGCTTGAAAATATTTTGTCCTATCCTCAAAAAATAGAAAGAGTTGCTGCTACAAAATTATTTTAAAGCATATTTCCAATATACACTGTAGCAAATTTTAGATTAATCATCTTCTATATAACAGAATTGAAAGCCAACATTTCTTGAAACTGCAAAATTAGTGATCAGAATTCTATGGTATCTATGGACCTCTTCATAGGTCAGTACCAGAAAAGGCAGCTGCTGTTCATTTTATTTAATGTAAAAGTTTGCACATCGACTGTAAAGCAACCCAGGTTCTGGCAGCAGCATCAGCAGAGGTCTGATGAAGCTTCAGTTGTCAGTGTCTTTGATCTTCTACATTTTTCTTCTACCTTTTTTATTTCTTCTATGTTTTTTATTTCTTCTTTTATTCTCATTCCTTTTCTCGCTTTTCCAGCACTTTTTGATGAGAGATACAATTTACTTCTGTGCGTTGTTCCTACCTTACTTCTTTTTAAAGGATATTTTATGCTGCTTGGCCTCTGTTAAAGCTTTAGATAGTTCTTGACAGGGGCAATAGACTGGAAGCATTCGATCTAAGGAAAAGGTTTCAAATGGAAATGCACAAGTATTGTGCTAAATTTCTCTCTACTATTAAGCCCTGGCTGCAACATTTGTGTTGTTAACATAAAATAAAACTGGGATGGCATAAGAGACCTCTTTTTGCTGTAACCATTGAAGAGTTTATAGATCATGGATCATACTGCCAATTTAGACTTGCTTTGCTGCTGGCTTCAGCTCTGGTTGCAGCAAGAAGGTAATTCATTTTCCTTCAACAGCAAGTTACTGCATAGGAACCAGCTAAAGGGTATTGAGCCAGGACATGGAGAGAAGGATTGCCACCGTTGTGAAGAGTTCGAGTGGGTAAAATTTGCTGTGTGAGATCATGGTTGTATGGCCTAACAGCTTGTACCTATCCTGTGCTGAACTTCTGAACATCCTGTTACAGCAAGACCAGGACAAGACAGAACCATTTTTGCTATCTAGGAATCCCAGTTCCTAGACAGGGACACAAAATGCCTAGATTCGCCACAAAAGACACATTTAACCTAACATCCAGTTTGTATTCAGTGAGCATCATCAAGTATTACATCGTATTTTGCTTTCACTTTCAGCAAGACTAGGATATCTGCTATTTTTCACAGGACCACTACTGAATTCAGTGTAAGAAGGAGAAGAAAGGAGTTACTGATGCTCTAGTAGTTGTATGTGGGGAAAGTTGGTGGTTTCATTTATTAATAACTTTACTAATGAACTCAGTAAATGTGATGGAGTTCTAGAGTCAAATTAGGTGGCTACTCTTGTTTTCTCGGGGGGGTTATTAAATACTTTGTATGAACATATTTCATTCTATCATTTGTGATCTAATCAAAGTGATCAGAAAAGTGATGGGTAATGTGAACAATCTGGTATATTCTCTGCTTTTGAAATATATTTGAAATAGAAAAATAATAATTTTGCTATCAGTCATTCATTTTACAAATTACCTCAATTTATTTCTAGGACTTGGAAGAATTTTGCTTCAGATTTTGCATAAACCATTTAACTGTTGTTACACAAACTCAAGGCTTTGCAGAAATGGACCATGACCTCCTGAAAAACTTCATTAGCAAAGCAAGCAGAGTGGGAGCATTCCGAAATTGAGGTCTGACTACTACCAAGCTGAAGAGCATGTCCTCTTCCCTCCTGGAAATACTTCTCCTTTGGAGAACTTATCCATGGTCAGAATGTGCAAAGGTTTGGAAAGAAAGACTCAGTGTCCATCAGTTTAGGAAATACGTAAAAGTCCACTTTTTTGTGTAAAAAACCACATAGAGGTTTTGTGAAGATGGCTCCAGCGTAGATGTATGGTGAGAGTTCATTGCCAACAGTTAGAATTTAACAACAAAAATCTAATGCAGTAACTACCCCTTCCCACTTAAAGTCAAGCAAACTAAGCTATCAATATCTTGTCTGTCTGAGTTTTTTTCTTTTTTTTTCTTTTTTTTTTTCTTTTTTAAAACAACCAGCATTTGGATTTCATGGGACAGTGATCTGTTTGCTGCTAAAACTTTCATGGTATGCTTTTGTCACCAAACTAAGTTCATATGCCATAGTGGGCTTCTTTTTGCCTGGTTTATCATCCAGTGAAGTTACAAACTTGTTTTTCTGAACATGTGATAAAGTAATATAAATTCTTTAGGATGAGAGGCTTTCTGACTGGTCGGAGGGTATGTCTCATTTGGTGTTTATTTGGAATGTAAGTAAGTAAGCCATGAAGAGCTTCAGCTGGGTATCACAATTTTGAGTTCCTGGCACTTATGTCCATTGTTCTAGACAGGAGGGAAAGAATCTTCCTTTCCATTACACTAAGCACTTTCCCTGGCACCCCATTGGGCCAGGAAGCTTCACAGAATTTGTCTGGACCTGAATTATTGTGCTGTGTGTTCGGTACTGAGAAAACTATCTGGTTGCTTGTTACCGAGAAAAAGAAACCCAAACAAAATCTCAAGGAAAGGGAAGTTCCACTTGAGGTTTCTTTATTCCCATTTTACTATCTATCCCCAGCTGGATCATCTTAAGAAAAATTGAGAAAAAGATAGTTTTGAAGTCATAAAATGGGTCTCAGAACTAAATTGTAAGAGTGAAACTCATTTTCCACATGGCAATAAGGACACCTTGTCCAAATACATTGTTTCAGGTTCTCCTTTGGTCAGTGCTGCGAGGTGACCATACCACTTCACTTAACTTGCATGCGTGTTCTAAGTGAGAGGAGCTGTCCTCTGGACATGCCTCTCTCTAATCGCTGACCATTGAGGGAACCAGGATGCTGAATTTCTCACTGACTACAGTGAGTTAAGATGAAACCCCACCCAGTGTTGCACGGAGGGAGGTTTGCCCCATTACAGAAGATGCTGAGCTCATGAAGCATTTACTTGAATTTTCTAATAGACAACTGTGAATTAACTCTGAGAGATTATTTCTCTTAAAATTTTGGCTGAGTGAAGTGGCTTTAAGTGCCTTTTGTAATATTTTGCAAATGGAGAAGGCAAGAAGCTGGATGACCAGGCTCAGTACACTACTATAATTAATCATGCAACCTTCCTTCAGATCCTTGCTGTGCCACAGAATCCTTCGATGACTTTTTCTAATCCTCAAATGTGGTTTCTAAGAACCTAATTCCCTTAAATGATCGCAGCCTCATTTCCTCATTTCTAAAATAGATATAACTGTTCTTTATTATTTTGGAGGATCATTTCTCAGACCATCCTGTTCCTTGAGGAGGAGGAAGAAAAGGAGCAGCACAGCCTCAGGGAAGAAGATGAGAAGTAGTGCCTTTCTCCACATCAGTTGCTGCGGATGTGAGTGGAAGGGTGAGGCATGCAGGTGGCAGAATTTACTTAGGAGGAAGGTCATAAGCAAATTGTTTTGGAAAATGCTGTGGTAAAAAATTACTTCTGAGACATTTGCCTCATACTCTCACTAAAAATATATTGGATCATCTACTGCTAACAAGCGTGTTCTGCCACCCCCTCAGTGATTAGTATGACTTCCTCCAGCAGCGTAAGTCCATACTTCAGCAGCTGTATCAGTATTTTGTATTCAAACAGAACTGGTCAAAAACTTTCCAGTACATAATGCAGTTTCATCAAAACCACAGCTTCCCTGGGGGAAGTTTTGGTAAGTTTGTGTTGAAAAGCGCTTGACTTACGTAGGCACACAGATAGAGGATAATGCAGGCAGTAAAACAGTATCACGGTAGGGCACAACTTTACTGCAAACATGATGTGATACAGCCCAGCACTAATGATTCCAATGCATACACACAAGGCAATTCTACGTAATTCCAGATGTTTTGGTTAAAGAACCAAACCAAAACTGTAAAGGTGAAATGATTGGTTTTTAACTCAACACCTGATCAAAAACCTCTGCTCAATGAAGAGCCTGGTTCCCTGGAGACACCACTCCATGGAGCGATAGCACTGGAGCATGTTACCACTCTCCTAAGATGGCTCAAGTCCATAACGCAGTAGTTCAACAACCACTGGCGTTCAAAACGGCATGCTTTCTTCACAAGGCATTTTTGGTTTAATATAACCAATAGTGCCATTTTTTTTCCAGTTTATTTCCTTCCTGCTCATAATTTCCAACCTACTGTATACATTGAAGCCTAGCTGCAATTGCAGAGTAATTGACAAAGCCTGTAATTTTGAGAAAAAGCATCTCTGGCCTGAATGAGGGTGATTTTAAAGATCCACGGTGTCAGTGTTGGCTTTTATTCATGCAATACGTATAATCTGACCTGGATGTGATAGCGTTACATTCATAGAGACATTCATTTATTTATTTTTTTTAGATATCATTTGCATGCACTTTCCTTGGCACCGAAAGGTCAATGTTTAAAAAAACATACTGGCTTAGGTGGTTAAATGTTGATGCATGTATATAAACATGTGCTTGAAACCCAGTCATGGGACATTTTAGAAGAAATTAGGGATGCATTTTACTGTTGTAAGATTGTCTGCAACAAACTTATGTTTGTGGATCTTGCAGGTTAAATACTTTATTAAAGTCTGTAAGCATTGTTCTGTTTTAGGACACCACAGACAAAAAGATATTTGCTAAGAAGTGAAAATAAGGTCAAGCATAAACTGTACCTGGGGTTTAAATAAAGAGGGATGTTCCACACTGCAGAAAGGGAACCAGGTGGATTACTTGGTGAATCAAATGGAATTTGAAAGAAAAAGAATTGACAGGGACAGGGTCATTTAAAGGTTCTCTTAAGTTCTGAAGCTTGCATTGTCATCTAGTACCCCCTCTAGAGTTTTATTACGATGCCTGATAACTATGTAAACTGCTGTTTTTATATGATCTGAACAATTTCCTTGTAAAGCAAAGCATTTAATTACCCCAGAGATGCAACTCATTGGCTACCACCTAATGATGTAGAACGTTTACAGCCTGAACATAAAATCATTATTTGATTTCTTGTTTCTTTATAAACTTGCCTGGTTTTAATAGACTGTTAATAAAAATGCCATAATATTTTAAAAGTATGTGTGGGATTTTTTCCTTTCTTTTCAGTAAAGTGAAGAAAGTCTGACACTTGTAAACCGAGTTGACTATGTAGTTAGTAGTGTGGGGAAAAAAAGAAATAAAACAGAGGTAGTATTTCAGAGAGATACTTTAAAGAACATTTGTGTTTTTCAGGAAATAACCACCACCAGATAAAATATTTGTAAGCAGGGTAAGTCTGCAAAAAAAGAGCTGGAGAATTTGCATAAGTGTATTTCCACTTTTCAAAGAACTTATTGCCCTAGTGACTTAATGATTAATAAAACTGTCCTCAAAACACCCAAGAATTGTGTCTGAAGCAAATGTACATTATGACCAGCTTCGTTACCTTTTAAAATATTTTAACTTGTACTTTGTACCAGTATCACACAGCCATAATCTTCTCCAGCTGTTTCACATTTGACACAGGTATCTTCCTGCAGCCACTCCTGTACCCGAAAACATGCAGATTACACATTCCAGTACCCGTGAGGAACTTGCAGTTTACTACAGCCTCTGGACTAGCGCTGCGCGAGCACGAAATTCTTCACTTGCAGGTCAAATGCAGGGAGGAAGAAGGAAGTTCCTGTGACACGTACGGACAAACGGCATTTGGAAACAGGGGACAGCAGCAAGAGATTAAGGTATAAAACTGCAAATAAAGAGGCTGGGACTGAGCTCATCCGTCTCAAGATGGTTACATAGCCCAGCCAGTAGATCCTCTTAGTGTCAATGGAGAGAAACGGGCCTGAGATGCAATTCACCTGACCTCATTTTACATGTACCGCTTCGGCAGAGACACGTTTTCTCCACAAACGTACATTTCTCCACTGTGACTAGAAGAGTTGGATCAGTGGTGCAATCCTTACCATTAGGCACCTAAAATGCCGGGCCCGTTTCCTGCCCAGCTCTCCTCCTCTGAATCCTAACTTTCCGTTTTCCTGGAATACAGTTTCCATATGGATCACAAGAAGGTCTTGCTATAGAAAAGTACTCTCAAACATAGTAAGATTGCCAGATCTGACAAAAAGCCGCTAGTTTCAATACACATTTATTGAAATGCCCGTTTCAATACACACACATTGCATATGTATCTGCTTCCAAATGGGACTCTGAAAACGTGTTTTTAGAGGGGGCAGGGACTAGCGAGTCAGCCAGTGCACTTTGTGCTCTAAGCACTGTCATGAACACCGATGCTATAAATAGCGTCACACGTTCAGCAGAATTATGAGTCACAGGCACCTACGGACTCCAATAAAGCGATGACAGGGAGCCTGCGGGGCTGACGTGCCTACAGCCAGATACCCAGCCCAGAAAGGGGTATCTGGCTGTTGGCTTACACCAGGCTTTTGACTCCTGGGCTGTTTTCAGCAGCTCCGAAAGCAAAAGAATCGATGATGGATGTAAAGCAGGGTGCTGGAATGATGGGAACGCTTCTAAATGTGGACACCAACGTCTCTGAAGGACTGCCTCGAGTGCCTCTGCAAGGGCTGCCACCGTGAGCCAGAGCACGGCAGGGGCCTGCGTCTGCCAGAAGCGTTACCAGTGGTGGCCCTGGACCAAAAGGTCTGGCGAGAACAACATTTCCGGAATGTCCTATGGAAACTTCTGAAGGTAACTCTAAGCCCGACAGTACAACTATGTGGACCTCTGCATCGGTAGGAAATCCCTGGAGATGGAGTGACCTCCACTTGTACCAGCTGCAGAATCATGGTGGAAGCGTGATACAGCAGGACAATGACCATGTGAAGTCAGCTGCTCATCCAATAAAAGAAAATTACCAGCTACAATTCTTTTAAAAGCTATTTTATTTATCTTTAAAGGAGAGAAACTGATTAGTTGTATAAAATATTATCATACATTTGATGTAAAGCCTTCAGTCTGTTTGAACAAAAAAATACATTGTCACAGTACAGAAATGATAAATCTCCTTCGGTGCTGGACTCTGTAATGTCACCCCTCTAGCCGAAGGATCATGGAAGAACTTCACTGGCTGTAACAGAGCTTACGGTCAGTGTACCCCAATGTTAACATATATTCTGTCTGTAAAACTGCAAAAAGTGAGAAAATAAGCACAAGATACTCTTAAACACTTCTGTGCATTTTTCAGGAAGAAAGCTGAAGCCATATTGAGAGTAAAAAACCCAAACAACTCCATTTTATTTTAAAATTCATTGACAAAATCAGTGTGCAGCTCGTAGAATTTTTAGTAGCTCTAGGATTAGCTTCTGTTCAACACAAGAACTGACCTTTAAAACATACTAGTGTCCGTATTCTAGGTTCAGCTAAACAACTTCTAAATGAGCTACCTAGAGAAGATGTTTTAAAACATTTGTGTAATGAACAGCATGCTTTTCTACTATCACTGCTTTAATTTAAGCAGCTGTGACAGCTAAATTTTGTAAAAATGGGTAATTTTAAAGCAGGACTTAATTTATTTCCTTATTTTTTAATTCGCTGGAAGTAAAACGTGCTTTCCTTAACTGGCTGTTTTGCAAAACATTTCTCATTGCAAGAAAAATTCTAGTATCTGAATCAGTAACTTACAAACACGTAAGCTGAAAAAAGTTTTGGGGTTTGGGTTTGTGGGGGTTTTTTGCTAGTTGTAACAGTTCACAAGTTGCCTATTAAACTCTGCCTTTTTGGTAAAATAAGGCAGACTGATTTTCCCAACGTGGGCTCATCAAGTTCAGCTTTCGAGCAGACGCTGCGGTAAGGCCATTGGGAGATGCCCCATGCTTTTAGGCACCAGGCTGCTCTTACCTGGAACCCAAGTGGAGACACTTGGCTTTCAGCTATAGGAAAGAGGTTTGGTGCCTGTTTCTCAGGCTATTTGGCTTGGCTGCAGTTAGGTGAAAATGTTAAGAAATCCAGAAAATTCTACATCGTTAGAATTTTGAAATCTTATGTGTACCAGGTGAGTTTAGGCTTGGGGTTCTTTGTTCTTTTTTTAATAATTGAGATTTTGCAAGATAAGAAAGTGCACATCAAATAGTCTGCATATGGGAAGAAGCTTCAGCTTCTGGGAAAATTTTCTGTGCCATTCAGGGAGGAATCTCAGTGGGATTTATACTCCATGAAATTCAAACTGATGGACAGTGTAACCGCCCTCTGAAATTAGACTGGGGCGAGAGCTGGGGAAGGAAAACTACAAAACGCTAAGTATCGGTTTCAGTAGTACAGCTACATAATGAGCTCACTTGGAATTCAGGTTGTCCTTCTAATGTTGAGGCCCTGAATCTGCGAGGTCTATGACTGCTGTGCAGTTTGTTACTGAGAATTTGATGCGCTAATTATATACAGAGACAGAAATTTGCAGTATCTGGCCCCTCATTTTCAAAATTTGCAAGTAATGGAAATCTAAAAACGAAATCTAAGAAAGAAAATTAGTGCATTTCAAATCATTCTAGCTAACATTTTGTCTTTAGACAGAAAAATTCAATCCAAGTAGACTGAATTGGCTTAAATCAGTAATGTTGCATTAGGAAACTAAGACACCTTCCAAGTCTGTTTTTAAAATCCTCAAAAAATATATATAAATTAAATTCAGTGGCTTACATTGTATATATGCTACATCATAAGGCAAAGTATCATGAGTAACACTTAAAAATTTTAAAAGTCCAAATGCTTTCAACTAGCAGTTCGGAATAAAAAGCAACTAAAAAAGCAACTCAATTAATGAAGGCTGTAAAACAAAAACAAGCTAAGAGGGCCTGCAGTGCAGCCCCTGGTCCTGAGAAGAATCTCACTTTTCTTCACTGGCTGAGGTATCATTTCCATCATTCAGTTTCTGCTTTTGCATTCTTGTTCGAGTAGATGCTAAAAAAAAAAAAAAAAAAAAAAAAATAAAAAATTTTTTTAAAAAAAAAAAAAAAAAAAAAAAAAAAAAAAAAAAAATTAAATACTTTCTTCAGAATTACTTCAGACGTCATTATTTCTTGTAAAAATTGGTAATGACACAAGGAATTGTATTATACTATTCTAAATAAAACAAATCCCCCATTTTAAAAGTAAACACATAGTTCTGAGTTGCTTCAGCAATTCCTGCTCAATCTCACACATCTTAAATTCATTCCACCCATTCATGATACTCTCATTGCTTCTGTACCCTCGCTTTGCCTGTTTTCATCCTCGAGGCAGGCAGATGGGACTGCATCATGGAGCGATCTCATTTTGCTGCCAGGCAGACGCTCGGAGCTGAGCAGTCCCCACATCCCAGAGCCAGCCTGCAGAGGAAACGCCTTTTCCCCCCACAGTGACACTCAACTGGACATGAGACAGAACATCCCTTCTTAACCTCTGCCACAAGTAAACACTGGAACACTTCCCCTACCCTAAAATAAACAAGGGGTGCCTACAGGCATGCTCATACCTATCCCGACAAACAACCACTTGCTAGGTAAGAATTTTTAATGGGTAAATCTGCTCAGCTACTGAGCTCAGATTCCACCAGAGAGTGAGAATGCCTGGTCAGACCAGGCGTGTCCCATCTCAGGAGTGGAAAATACATCCCGGATGTGGGGATGGGGCCATTTTGCTTTTCATGAGCTAGATTTGAGTTTCATTTGAAAAACAGAAAAGCAATCCCATAAAATCTGAAAGAAATGCTGATCCACAGTAGAAGAAAAAGCAGTCTCAGGCATTTTGGTATAAAAGACAGCAAAGCAACATAGAAAGTTACATACAATTTTCCTGTGTATATAATTTTCCCTTACTATACTGTAATCGCCTAAAAAGGTGTTCTGGTCAACTAAATGCTGCTGCAATTACTACTGATTTCTACCTGCAAGCTCTCAGCTAAGGGTCTGTCATTACAAGAAATGGGAAAGCCGTGGCAAATGTTCAATTCCATTTCAAGAATTCTACTGTTTAGGAAGTGAGGATTTCCATTTTATAATTTGCAGTTGCAAGATTAAATGGAGCAAGTACAAAAAAGCAAGTTACCAAAATGACATCAATGTTGAGCAGTGTTTTTATCTGAGTTGGCACTAACTGTTTCATCCAAGGCACTCACCACTGTGCAGTTAATGAAAGAATAATACTCACTCATTTCTGCAAGCTTTTGTTGGAACTTGGACTCCTGGGGTAGGTGTTTGCTGCAGACAGAAAGCATATGATTAAGTTAAAAAAAACAAAAACTTTTTATCCTCATAACGTAACTTTAAATCAAGATTAGTTCATTTCAGTGCTATTGCCTTCCCTTACATGAAGAAGAATGCAAACTCTTCTCTCCTCCACACTGAACTCAAGAGTTGCTTGAATTCCCTTATGTCTAAAAAATTTGGGGTTTGTTTTTTAAAAGACTGACTAAAGGCTACAGCATGGTTTAGCACTCAGCAATAACACTGAGATGCTGGATGTATAGGCACCATATAAATCCTTGCTTCTGACATCAAAGCATCTAATTGAGAAGTATTATGATACTCTCTCTCATTTAATGTATTTACTAAAGTTCACAAATTACAGAAGTTAGGATGTCAGGAAGAATTTAGGCTGGAAAGCCCTGAGAACCAATGTTTCAGCAAGTTTACTGAAAGGCTGAGAACAATCACTTACCTTCCATCTGCTTCGTCTTGCCCTTCTATATCAAAGCGCAGCCTCTTCAGTGGCTTAGGAGCAGCACTTACTTCTGCGCTGCGTTTTAGCTGGCAATCGCTGTTGCACACCATCTGGTTTATTTTTTGAAACTTTTCAGAAGTCTAAAATTACAAGAAAATGAGGAAAGAATTGCCAATAAATCCTGAAACTACTCAAACTTTCCACTAAAAAAAAATTTAGGAGTTCTAAAACTCTGCAGTTTAAGAACTCTACCTTCTTTCAAAGCAACTAAAATAAAATGAAAAACATTTTAAAAGTGAAGTCTGGGTATCTGAAAGGAGTTAACAGAACACCCCTGTAATCTTTGTGCTTACAGATTCCATAAAACAATACGTTAAATTAGAGACACTCACTAGCCAGTTCGACAGATGTTGGCAGGCTATCCCATTCCTCCAAAAGTTACATGCATTGAAGACCAGACATTAAAAATGTTAAAACTCACCCCAAATGATTCACCAATTGACACCAAAATTCTGCCAAATGAAGAAGAGAAGTGTTTAAGATTAAGCTGCATTTAATAATGATAGAAGCATCCACTAATTTGCACAGCTTAGCATAAGACATGAACAAAGTCTCTTCCTCTCTTCTCTGTATTAACAGTGCAAACCCATACTATGCTTCACTGCGTGGAGACTGTTCACGTTTCTCTTCGGGCCAGTGAATGCTGAATCACCAGATCAACCGTCCCATACCAACAGAAAATAAAATGTAGCTTGAAAGAATCAGAGGCCCCCACAGTCCGTCCCTCATGAGCAGGAAGACACTTCAGTGCTGGGTACTAATAATCATAATAATCATCCTTTCATCATTACCTTTAGGTATTTGCAATCAAAACCATGCAGGACTTCAACCTAAAATATACAGTAATATTTCAATTTTTGTAGACTGCAGGCCAGGTGCAATGGGACTCACTTGATCCTAGTTTGAAAGCCCACTGGAGACTCGCACATTTGCTGTCATCTCTGTCTGCTGAGAACTAGTGACCAACAGTTTGAAATGTTCTGCTCAGTCAACTAAATACTCTGAACCATTTTGTTCTGAAAAAGTATTTTCTCTTTACACAAGTGTACAAAGCTCATCTATATTTTTCAGGAGTGTGATCCAGAATCAAAGCCAACAATATTTAAGCAATTAGGTCAGCAAACCCCTCTTGGATGTGACTATTCAAAAAAAAAAAAAAAAAAAAAAAAAAAGAAAAAAAAAAGAAAAAAAAAACCAAAGAAAAACCCAAACTTTGAGCATATTGACTAAACTGAAACAGAAAAGCGCTCTGCTCAAAGATGAATACAGTTTCCAAATACAGGATACAAACTTTTAACCAGAAAAGGTGTGATAACCACAGATTATTGACAAACTAGACTGCGGTTTTCTAGTTTGTTTCCACTAAAATCCCCAAAATACCTTTCATTTAGTCAAAGAAGCACTTGTCAACAACCTACCTAGACCGTGGAGTCATCTTTGTGGGCGACTGAAACCCATCAGAGAATTTGTATGGGCTCTTCAAGGGTGAGATGTATATGTTATTGCCAGCAGGGACACGCCGAGGAGAGTTGGAAAACTGGTAAGGGCTGCGAGGAATGTGTGGGATAGGTGACAGAGTGGGAGGCTATAAAAATAATAAAATAATCATATATTTTTTTCTATATATTCCTATTCTATTAAACAATGAATACTGAATACAACTGACAGCTTACCCTGTTGGAGGCGTACTGCAAAATGTTCGTTTTCAGCTTCTGCATAAACACTAAGTTGTAAAAGACTATAATGGAGTCATACTGTTCTTCCCTGATAAGAACACGTTTGAAAGTCTACATAGGGTGAGAAAATCATACACAGATTTAAAAAAGGCATGAAAAATTTACATTTAACAAACTCATAAAACCATTCATAAAGTCTATGTTAGATAAGAGCTAAGATGGCATGTGTGTTGTATGCAAGCCATTGTAACTACTATTTAGAACCATTCTAAACTGTTGGGGTTTTTCTAAACATGTATGAACATCAGTAGAAGTATCTACTTAATTAAGTGGCACAGCCCCTTAAGGGTGAACGCAGTTGTTCACTGCTTTAACAACATTGTCCAAATTTAAGCTCCATTTACACAACTGTCAAAAAAAAAGGCTTCGCTACTGTGCACACCTAGCAAGGCTAAAAAAATCATTACTAACCTGATGTGGATAAAATAGTTCTTTAGGCTTGGAGACAAAAGTCTGGAGTTTAGCCAAGACACACAAATACACTGTGAGAAATTCTGCTACTAAAAGGATGCCTATAGTTCAATTAATTCTTTGGTGAGATTTTTTTTTTCTATTGATTTAATTACTGATTAATTATTTTGTGCAAAAATTTACATACAGTAAAAAAAAATTTACATACAAAGAAAGGAACATCTTAATGTTAGAATTAAGCCTGCAACTTTAATACATACACACCTGTTTGATATATAACCATACATCTCTATTTGATATCTAACCATATTTCTACTGAAAGCTTCTATAGAAAGTTATCTGCTTCTCTTCCCTTAATGCTCCATGGAAGTCAAGTAACTCTTAAAGGAACATGGGTTGCTTTTGAAAATCCTATTAGCTCTAGACCTGAATCTTTCGTCTAGTCTCCAAATAAAATCATAAACCATTATTTAGTATCTTTAAGTAAAAAGGTGGAATGAAGTTTGCTTTCTGAGGAGAATTGCCAAACTATTTCTGTAAGATGTTTAAAGAGACATTTAGTTTTCTCGTCAACAAAATGGAGGTGCAGTGAAGCAGTTTTCTTTTGTATGTTCAAGTGTACTTTGGGTTTTTTGTTTGTTTTAGACAGAGAGAAATAATTATTTTATAACATTTTTATGGAGGAATAACATTAAAGAATTTCCATACCTCTTGATTTGTGTTGGGAAGCTCCTTGTATGCCGAAACTATTATTTTAAATCTAAGATCTACATTCTTTACTTTGCATATGCCATACATGGAACACATCATGATCTATTAAAGAAACAAGACAAGAGAACTGGAAATGCAGAAAATTCAGCATCTTCATTTCAAGTTAAGAAATCTCATAAATGATGAGCTTTTTATTACTGATTGTGCTCTGTAAACCAGCATGTAACTCAACTTCATATGAACTTACAGAAAGCCAACTACTGTTCCCTCCATTGCTGTATGACAACCAACTAATTGGAGCTGAGAATATCTTCTCTAACTTGTTTTGCACACTGCAATTTTAGGGTAGAGTAACAAAACCTGGATCAGCCACACATTTTGTCTTTAAAAAAAAAAAAAGAGGCAGTATTTTCTTATACAAATTAACAGAAAATTTGGCTCTCCATTATTTTGAAAATAGCTGTAAACAGCATTTTGAAGGTCCTACGGTAAGTAACTGCCAGTACTTAAAAAACCTGAGATGATCAAAAAGAGACTGCACTCTAAACTAATTTCTCCTTTGAGTGATCAATAGAGAAATAAAAACTTAGACTATAATTTCTAATGGTTAAAGAATACATAAGGGACATTTTGTTCAGGAAAGTCTTTCTAAACTCTTTAAAAAAAGTTTTTAATGTTACCTGGTCCAAGTGCCTGTCTCTCATAAGCTCATATTCATTTTGCAGTGTGTGCTGGAAGAGGGTCCAGATCAAGGGTTCCAGGTCAGGATGTTCAGAGAGAAGCCGAAAGAACAGGGTATGTAGTCGAAGATAGGCCAGTAGATACACTTGAGAAAGAGAGAAGAAAAATAAACTGAAATGGTAACAATAGCGGTATGCAAAATAAAAGGAGCACGATGGAGGATGGACGCATTCAGGGGAAGCACCATATATGCTTGCCCAGTTCTTAAGCTTCCCGCGACATCTATTTATGGTCACTGCCGGAAAAAGGATACCAGGATAGAAGGAACTCTCCATCTGAGCTCGTATGGCCATTCTTAGAATCAGTAGATAAGTTTTCAGTTTGAACTTGCAGTGTGTGGAGTGCATGCATTAACCTGCTGGCATCATTTTACCGTTTCTTCCAAGGGCAGCTGAGGGTTTGCACGGTACAGATTCTATTATCATCTTTTAAGAAATGTTGAACTCCAAAACCCAAAAAGAATAAATAATAAGAGATAACTTTGCAATTTCAGCATGTACAGAAGCAACAAACCTTTTTTGTAGAACAGAGAGAGAGAGGTAGATTTCTGTGGTTTCTGTGTTTGAGGGGTCACAGTTGGCTGAGCATCTGGACTGGAAGTAGCACTTGGAGGAGGTCCAGATGCTTTCTTCTTAGGAGATCTCACAGGAGAAAGATAGCTGGAGATTAAACATATATTAAGCACTTCAAATCACAGGATAAAGGAACAATTTTATATGAATAATACTTGCAGGAACTCTCCCCTCATTAGATGAATTTAATTGCTAGAGTAACCTTTTATTCCCACATCAGGAATTAAAAATTCAAGTTATTGATTAAATACTTGATAAAGGGACTTACTTATTCCTAGACAAGTAAGAAAACAGTTTGCAATTACAAGTTTGATAGGGCTTGGGAAAAAACATTTCAGAATTTGATTTGGCTAAATTTACATGTATAATAAGCAGCAGCAAATACAAGTTTTAACTGTTGTTAAATAAATAACCGAAGTACCAAGCCTAACAAGTAGGAAAACAGAAGACAAGTGGATTTATATACTAAGGTCGATATTAACTTCACATTTTACTAGACCTCAAAGCACGCATGTCACTTACAGGTCTGCGGCAGTGTGATTATGTTGGAGAGGCAGATTGAGAGTGGAAGTGGGCTCAGGCTGATCAGTTTGGCCTTCTCGTTCTTTTGACTGCCTGATAAGATCGAACAGTGGTGACCCCTAGAAAAATCACAGTAACCGTACATCATACTGAGAACAGACAACCACAGTGGATGGCTTTTGTTCCTTATTCTCTAAAATCAACCCCCAAAATATGATCCTAAACAGAATATTAATGCTTTGAAATACCTCAGAACACTCATATTTTGCCAGATAAATTTTAACTATTTAACTAACAAATTTTAACTATTCAATACACCGAACACTTTTTCTGTTTCAACAGCAGTCCATTAGATTTAGGCTAACTGCAGAGTGGAGATATAGTTATATTCTAGAGGTGCTTATTACCTCCTATTAAATAGCAATTCCTGAAAAGAGCAGCAAACAATACAAGAAAATACCATCAAAGGTCATATTTAAAAAAAAAAACAAACCAACACAAAAACCCCAAACATCAGTGACAAAGTTTTTTTTTACCTACATTTCTGCTACAACATCTACCCAGTATTTTACACATGACAATATACAAAACATGGTCGTAACCCATCTAGCTGCACTGGGGACTGTTCAGATCTCTGCAGTATCATGAACCAGACCTACCTCTGGCAAGAGTTATAGTCACTCTGGATGCATTTGGTCTCTGCCCTCATGCCCCGAAACAAAACCATTTTGATTTTAGGTCAATTATCAGTACTTTAGGCAAAGGAGCTCGAATACATCTGAACCTACTAAGGGTTTGAGGTAGGAGGCGATGCAGAGAGGGTATAAGTGGAATGGAGAAGGTTCTGGCTGAAGCAACATTAGTTGATGTGATAAACAGCAGTCTTGCAGAAATAAAATCTCAAGCTTTTGCAGCTCGTGTGTCATGTACAGAGTAGAATTATGCTGAGACAGCAAGACTGCATGGGAAAATATTTTGGCACTGTATTTATAACTAATGTTGAAAACACAGGTTTGCTGGCTTCTGGTTTTTTATTTTCGTTAAACAGGAGACTTGAGCACAATGTTGCCATCCAATAGTGCAGCATTGAAACTCCAGAAGCAACAAAAAAACCAGCTGATTAGCAAATATCTGCCTTCTCAGGGGGAAAGCAGTGTCCATATGACTGGAAATGAAATGGGCAAAACAGACATTCAGCATTTTCCTCCAAATGATCCCCCAAAAGATAGCACTAAAATCAATCAGCTCAACACTTTCCACATAATGCATCATCCAATTGTCCAAGGTCTATCTGATCTTACAAATGCACGTTAATAATATTAAAATATGATGGCACAAATGACAAATCTGTAGTTACGCTAACAAATAGGAGCAGAGCACACATGTAAAGCAAGCTGCAACACCTGCCTAAGGCAGTAAGGCTAGTATTAAAACTAGCATTAAGATTTTCCTCATTTAACCTTACTTCTAAAAAGAGAACTCTCTTTCTCTGAAATGCATCAAGTAAAAAGCTCACAGCAATATAATGACAGTGACTTGAGATATACAATTTTTCACACTGTGTAATTTTTAAATTATGATTTTGGCAATACTGGAGCTTCTCCATCCGTAACATCAGTTACTGACTCATAACCACATCGTTATTTCTCTTTCATTTCTCAACCAGATCAGCTCTTGGGCTGGTTTGTATCATTTTTCCCTGGATTTAGGAGTACATGCAGTTCTCATTTGCTTCTTTCAGTGCTGCCCTTGCTGGAAATGCAGAGACATGACCTTCTCCATCTCTCATTCTTCCAGCCACTTGGACTCTTCTTTTTTATCAAACCCATCAGTGTTTCACTATGGTCTGAAGAATCCAAGTTTCTTTGCCAGAGCAATCACTAATTCATTGCTGACACACCTCCTGATTCCTTGGCTAAGCGTGAATCCTGCTTCATTCATTTCACATTTTAGCTACTAACGACTGAGAAAGTATTGTTTTCAATGAAGCATCAGTAGGAGGAAAAGGGATTGATAAAGAGGAATGAGAAGTCAAGAAACACAAGCAAGAGCTACTGTTTTCGAAGTTAGCACTTGAGAACAGCAGTTCCATGTCCTCTCTCAACCCTGCTCCAATTTTTGCCACACAGAGTGCGATTTCATTAGATAAGGTGAGAGGACACAGCAGCCTGCTACCTATGAAAGGGACCTGCCTACTTTTGCATCATTTCCACTCCTCCTCTTCTACTTGCCAGCTCTGACAATCAGTCAACCTCTGCATCAGTCAATTCAATGCACTAAACCAGCAGAAAGTTAACAGAAAAAGCAAAACCAGATTTAAGCTGGCTCTAAAGAGAATCACAAGCAGAGCCAGAACAGGCATTAAGAAAGGACAGGGCAGCAACACCACGAAGGTTGGGAGCAAAGCAGGAAAGAGCAGAAAACGGGGAGTACGAGATGTCCCGCTTTTACTGACAACGATCTGCTCAATCAGCTGATTGGCATGTGAAACTTTACCCTACAAGAATTTATGAAACCTACTGCTGCTTTCCATCAGTTAGATCAACTACAGTTAGGCAAGCAGATATTCTTCGTGTAGAAACATCTACTTATAGAGACCAAGTAGAAAGACGAGTGAGTCCAATATGTCCTTTTTGGCTCCTGCAAATCCTAATTGACACTGTGGTTAAAATTGTGTCAAGATAAATGGTGTGTTGTCACCCAGCTGGCCCGCAGCAGTGCAGATCAGCCAGCAACAGCAATGGTGGGAGGTGAGAAAGCATTGACTCAACACGTGCCCTTGGGCAAACCACGGCCGGGTTGCCTACCCTGACTGCAGAAACTTTGTTAGCCCTGCGGTTGCAGGAGCAGGGAAAAAGGTTATTTAGTTTTCAGACCTGGTGAAATTTAAGGTGGCCATTCTGCAGATCAATATTTTCCACCTTACAGCTGAAAGGACTTTAGGTGAAGCCCTCTGTGCTCTTTCCCGGGGCCCCCTACCACTCCTGCTGGTAGCTTTCCAAATGCACAGCTGCGTAGTTGGAGAAGTTGGTGCCTCACAAAAAAAAAACGAATATGCCATAATACAAAAAATACACAGACACAAGTTTTCTCAAATGCATCTACCCCTCTATCCTGCAAAACTGAGGGGTTTAATTACAACCTTGCCTCCTCTCTTTATATTTAAACATGAAAAAGGCTGCTATTCAGTGAACGTGAAGCACATTCTGCAACTTGCAGGGAGTTTTCAAGCTTTATCAGGACAAACTCTGTTCGGCTTTAGTCCCACTACTTGGTATTCAACAACCTACCTCTCGCTCAAATGAGAGAAATGTAATGTCATTAACCAGGCAATTACCAGTCCTCTCAGTCATAGTCACAAAAGAACTTTAACCCCTGGGTCCAGCTTTATCGAACAGGAATGTTTTATCAGTAACTTGTTTCTAAAGCGACATTATTCACACTATCTTTTACAAATTTTATACTGCTTTTTAAAGCTTTTAAGTAGCACTTGAGGGCAACAGGTCACCTCCAATGCATTCCTTTCACATGAAAGGAGTTTTGCACAGTTTTTACTTTAATGCTCAGTAAGTGATTAATGTTACTAGATGCAACCACAGAATAAATTTTACTAATTAAGTGAAATGCCACTTTTCATCTGAGACTTCCCTGTGATGGCTAGTGAAGCCCCATTTTATTAGTGTAAAAAGGGAGAAAGCAATTACAGCTAGAATTTCTTAGGGTCAAACAGTCAACAGCATCAGAACGAAGAACAATGCTGAAATTGGGACTCAGTCTGCTCTCACACTACCCAGGGCTAACTGTAACTCTGCGACAGTAAACTCCATGCATTAAGCGAGGCTTTGTTAAGTGAGCCTCTGCAGGATGATACCCTGCAGCAGTACCTGCATCACAAACGTCTGCAGTGATTTTTCCCCATCTGAAAGCTCCTTTTAAGGACAAAACTGGCAGAATTTCTCATTGACTAATTTGGCTATGGTGAAACTACAGGACACACAGGTGCTTCCCAGCTTCCTGATCTTTACATCAGCTCTGTCCCAACAACACGTTTAACTGGACTTTGGTTTCCATAAACAAATTAAACAAAAGACCTAAATCCTTAAATATGGAGAACAGCTACCCTGGGGTTTGGATGTACTCCACTGGCTACAGAGGAAGTCCCTGAGCAGCTTTACTCTCAGCAGTGCCAGTTAGCAGCTCACAGTATTTTAAAAATTGCTTTTGTCTTTATTTTCTATTGCTTTATGCTTCCATTCTTTACAATAATTTTCTAAACAATTTTCAGGTGGGGGTTTCCCCAATAAATTTTAACGCAATGTTTATCACTAAACTAGCGTGTATCTCAATGCCTAGCTACCTTAAGGGAGTGTTCGGGTTGGTGTTTTTTTTTTTTTTAGTATATATTATCAACACCACCACAAATTATTGAATCAGTCAATACAATATATAACATTAAGAAATGTTTTTCTTCATAATATGCTAAAAGGTGGCTGTGATTTTGCAAGGCAAAACAAAGCCAATTTAGACTCGACAGCTTTGGAATGGAAGTGCAAGGACTGGATCGGAGTGATTTCCACTCCTCTTTCCCATGACAGAATTGCACACCCAGAAAGTTGACTTTTGCTTGCAACTGTATTTTCAGAAGCTTCACGTGACAATTAGTGTTCAGAATTCTGAAATAATTTAAGCCTGCCAAAACAAAATACACTTCACAGTCTAAATTTAAATAGTATTTACCATAAAAAAAAAAGTAAGATTAAGGACCATGTTTTAATGTCATACATAAGAGTTGTGTTATATAAATTATGGTCCTATTAGGGCTTGTATTTACAGAATTTAAAAAGAAAAACATTAACAACTGCAGTGTTAACAGTTTAATTTGTATAAGAATACTGTCAGAACTGCTTTTAAGTCCTTAGAACAAATGCATATTTAATGCAAGACCTATTCCTACCTTACTGATCTCCAGCATTTAAAATCAAGTAATCCTGTCACCAAGTTTTGTGAGGCTCTCCTTTTATCTAAATGTGTAGTATGCAGAGAGAAAAAAGCAGAAAAGAAATGGTGACTGATAATTAGTTCTGGTCACTTTAAAACGATATTTTGATGGGCTTTTCCTTCTCACACAAGAGGCTTAGAAAGTCATAAACTACGGGAGAAGTGACAAGCACACACTGATGCACGTACAAATCATGAAAATGGTGATTATTTGAACTCATTGACGAAAAGCACACAGGCAGCTGATCTGAAAGCAAGTGTCCTAACCTCACGCCTGTTAGGAATTTTCAAGTTCACTTCTCTCATGTTGCAGTTTCTTACAAAATTTAAAAAATAAAAAAAAAGTTATCACACCAGAAGAAGAGTAACTGAATCACACAGAATCACTAGGTTGGAAAGGACCTTCAAGATCATCAAGTCCAACTGTTAACCCAACGCCACCATGTTCCCTAAACCGTGTTCTGAAGTGCCACATCCACACGTTTTTTGAACACTTCCAGAGATGGCGACTCCACCACCTCCCTGCTTCTGGTCTGGCATGTAGGACCCATTAGGGAAATGTGGAACCCATTTAGGCAGTCTCTTAGCTACTTATTAATATGAAATCAAGCATCTCTAATGGGAAAAACTGAGATTTCCTACCAAAAGCTGTTCAAAGGCCTAGTGAAAAAGGAGCTCAAATCTCTCCAGTCAGAGAAGGAAAGCCAGGTCACCATAGCCTGGATATGCATCTTAAACTGTGTTGCTTTAAATGATGCTGCAAATCCATTCTCTTTACAATTTTGTGATCATCTAGTGTTTCTCAAAAGCCTCTGGAGAGGCCTGGCAAATCTTGGTAGAATTCAGACATTATTTTAGAATAATCAATCCCACGATTTTCAACCGCTCCACTCCCAAAATTGCTCTTCACGAAATGGTTTTATATCAACCAATTTTCTATGTTTTACAGGGTCTCTCAGCAAAGGTCCAAGGGGCTACTTCACTACCAGATATAAAAGCATCATCAAGATATCCTTCCTAGCACTGGAGAAGGGTGCATGTGAAAACAGCCATCAAACTTCTGAGAGGCCCACCACAGACGTGTCTTCCCCAGAAATTACGGGAAGGTGTGGGGAGAGCTGAAAAAAACTCAAGAAGCATATCACAGCAAGACAAACAGTTGACAGGCATGATGAGATATTTGGAGTGACAGCTGCTTTTAAAAAGTAGCGGCAGAGTCGAGCTAAATTAAAAAGCGAAAGAAATTTAAAGACAACCCAGGGATTCCAGCAATCTCCATTTTTTCCTCTGGTTTTTAAATTTTAACCATAAAGATGATAGACCTTCTGTGTTAATACAGTGACAAGTACTATTGGTATGTTGAAAAATATTACACAGACTGATGATAATGCTCTGCAAATAGGGAAAGTACCGACACAGCTACTGCTTTGTAGCTCTGCAAACCAATCAGCAGTTGAATATTGAAGAGAAAAATGAACCATGGTTATCAGGACTGCTCCTATTTGCCAAGTCTGTGAGACTAACTTTTTAAAAATTGCTTTGAAAGGAGTTTTGAAAGACAGTCTACAAGCAGATTTGTTTAAACTACTCAGGATAACCCTGGGAAGACTGCTACTACGCAGCTTGCGGTGAGCTCTTGCACACTTCCTTCAGCAGTTTTTCTGCACAGAACTTACGGCGCTTCTTGTAAAGAAAGGCTCGCTGAGTAAGGAGTTAATATTCAGCACATTAAAGCCATAACTACACAAATACCCTAAGTCAGTACAAGCCTGTATTCCACCAAAAGACACAGTCCCAAACTTTTCCACCTACCTGCTCCCTCCTCCCCACCATCCCCAATCCCTCTTATGTCAGCAGAGTTTAAGATCTGGTCCAAGGAACTGAGGTTTTGTTGTTGTTTTTATTTAGTTGGAGGTTTTTGGTTGTTTTATGTGAACACATTTGGCAGGGGAAGCTTTGGTTTTACATTCAGAGCAGCTTCCCGATCCAGTTCACCTTAAGGCAATGCAAGTGTTCGCGTTTTGTCAGATGAAGGGACAGAAAGGAGCAGCTGGAGGATAACACGAAACCCCATCTTTCAGTGGCAGTGCCAGGGCAGAGAAAGGGAAGCCGTGCCTCACAAATTGCCAGGTTTCTCCTCTAAAGCAGTCAACACATCTTTGAATGGGGTGATCCTGCAGAAGATCTCCAGGTCTCCAGATCAGAGGCTCTGACACGCTCCTTCAGGTAAGGCTTTTTAAAGAAAGTGCTGCCATAGGGCAGACGGAAATGCAGTTACTGGCTAAAAGGCAGATATTGAAAGTATGACTGAATGGTTGCTTTTCACAGTGGAGAGAAGTTATCAGTGAAGTCTCATGCTGGGACTGCGGCTGTTTAACATTCACAAATGACAGGGAAATGTGGCAGGGGCAGGGAAGAGAAGGCTGCTAGAAGCACAAAATTATTTAGTTTTAGGAAAAATAAACTCGCTGCAAAAAGATCTCATGACTTTCAATGACTGGATGATAAAATAGCTGTAATAGTCAATAACAATAAAAGCAAAAATAATGAACAGGGGAAAATGACCTTAACTTTACATTTTAAAAAAAGGGCTCTAACATGACCATTATTTTAAAAAATAGATATATTTGCAGTTACTGTGAATAATTCTGAAAACACCAACTCAAGGCTCAGAAGTGAAAGCTTAAAGAATTATTAGAAAATATTAGAGCAAAATTATCATTATGCCAATATAGTAGCTCATGAATTATCAGAGTCACCAAAATAAATTATCGAGCAGTAGGACTGAAAGCCAAAACCAACTAGTTTTTCATACAGCCTGAGTGTTCATCTGTGGAAATACATGCTACAGAATACAATAATCCTTACTATGTATTTTTTGCTGAACATTATCCAAGAAAATAGCATTTCAGGCTCATCCTCCACATGCTTTTTTCCCCAAAGCAATCACTATGAGCCTCCTCCAGATGAATCTGTGGTCTGCACTAGCAGTGGGGCTACAGAAACAATCTATATCTGAAGTAATTCGCGTGTTTATTGCCTAGCTCCCCAGTGTAACCAGGCTTTAGTATGACTAATTCTTGGACAAATCTTACTTCTCAAGTTTTTTTAGGGGAAAGCCAAAAGCGTCAAATACAAACTGAACTGACACCAGTTTTCCCTCCTCTTCGCATAAGAAATTGCATACGATACACAAACTAAAACCCACCCAATGTGAACTACTTGACTGTTGGAAACTATAATATATCAGTCAGCAACAAAATGTCCTGCCGACAATCTTGAGGTTGAGAATTATATCAACAACCATAAACTGTGTAATCACTAGAGAGTATGAAGACTTTTTCAGTAAAGGAAG